CTTTAGGCGATATTGATATTGGAGTAAAGTTAAGAATGAACAAGAAGGCCTCGGGTTTACATATTGTATCCCGACGTTGTTACGTGTAGTAGTAGTTTATTTGGAATTATCCTGTAAGCCAAGAAGTTCTTAAAAAGGGTTTCATCAACAAAAAACAACGAGACCTCCTTTACCAGTGGCAAAATATAGTAATAGGTTTTTACCCTTTCAACTGGTACAAAAACTGACACCTTTATACAAGGGGTCATGTTTGCAATAACCACAACACAAGCAGTCAAAATGCAAACAAAAGGAAACAACTCTGATAATGATATGCGCTGTCCTTGAAGTTGATTGGTCCACACCCGATACAGCTTTTCTTAGAGCCTAGTCTCCAAAAGACCTTTTGGCGTCATCTGGTCCAACACCAATGGAGACTAGGCTCTAAGAAAAGCTGTCTCGGGTGTGGACCAATCAACTTCAAGGACAGTGCATAATTTGCATATCATTATCAGAGTTGTTTCCTTTTGTTTGCATTTTGACTGCTTGCGTTGTGGTTATTGCAAACATGACCCCTTTATAAAGGTGTCAGTTTTTGTACCAGTTGAAGGGGTAAAAACCTATTACTAAAAAACAACAACACCGCTTCTCCGTCATACGCGCAAATCACAGTAAAAAAAATAAATCAATAATAAACAATAACAGATAAGCGAGATAAATAGATAGCAAATTATAATCGCAGGATAAAAATTATCCCTTTTTAAATATATAAGTTACCACTTCGGACATTGTAACTAAACATAGCCTTGTGTTCGTGGAATGATGTTAATTTAGTTTTTTTTTTGACAAGTCACAATGATGGGTCTTATAAGGGGCATCCAAAGAAAATATTAGAGCGGAATGATGCAGTCCCACGTCTAATGCCATGCACCATGGCTGTCATTGACACGGTAATGTGATGGGCTTCAGATGAGTGATGGAAGCTTTTTCCAGATTATGTAACACACGCCAGACGTTCGCCACATCTTGCTCTACTCTGTCTGCAGACAATCCCTGAAGTGGCCCCTTCATCCATCACTGATGCACACACAAGAGGGACTTTACCAATGAAATTCTAGACACTGAACACATGGTCGTCGACGACCTCACTGGTGCCTCCACAGACAGCCCAAGGGAGAGCAGGTGTGGAGGTATTTGTGCCAGAATGTGTTGGAGCCAAGATGCGTCCAAAGGAGACAACTCATCCACATCGATCACATGCTGAATGTAACAGCAATGTCGCTGCACATATAACAGGCTACTCTTAGATATATCATTATCTTGTTTTCGTGGAAATTAATAAAGAATTTAATGAAAGACATACGTTAAATTGAATATACTGTGGTAAAAATATAATTTTCATTGGAATATCAATAAACGAAATTCGTCAGCAATTCACTAGCAAGTGTAACATGGGACAGCTTAATAGGTTTCCCCCTTTTTAAATCCTTTATATTAAGTTCACTTGCTTGCTTTCTTGCGCGCTTACGACCGTGCAAATCTTTCGGTCGTTTGTTAACCCACTTCCCGTGATCCAATCGAGCTGACATTTTGCACACACTCGTTGTGCGTGACAATTTATTTTCGTGAAATTTTTTTCCAAAATTTTACACTTTTTAGGAACATTTTTTTTTCATATTTTATTTAAAATACCAATGTGATAAAAATGAAACTCTTACTCAAGAAAAACAGAAATTAATAATAAAATAAAACCAATGCCACGCATATAAAGGATTTATAGTGAAAAACTTTGTTTTTACGGGTTAATTTTTTTCTGCCAACAAAACAGGTGTTAAGATATTAAAAACACCAAACTGAAACCTTTTACAAGAAATCATGTTTGCATTAACTACATATACTTGTGGTCAGAATGCAAAAAAAAAACATACTCTGATAGTATATGCATTGTCTTTGAAACTGATTGGCCCACATCAGAGACAGCTTTATTTCTCGCGGTGGCGAGATGTTAACTCCCTCGTCGGTTCGATCCCGACTGACGTCTGTCTATTTGGAGTTTGCAAGTCTATCTCCCCGTGGTCGTGTATTTTTCTCCGGGTCCTCCGGTTTCCCCTCCACAATTATAAATATGCGTTTAGACTATTTAGCTGCGATACATTTCCACGTGATAAGCCACTTCATTGGGCTATCATGTGACCAGGTCGCTTCTGAAAAAGAGCGATGCAGCTCAGTGCGCCTTACCTCTAAAAGAAATAAAAGTTTAATTTAAAACATAGTTTAGTTTATAGCTTAGTTGTGCAGGAGATCTACGGTGTCAAAATCAGGTAAGGGCTATCCGTTAGAATGTACATTTAATTGCTCTTGACTGATGCTACTGTCGCCATACTGTGTTGTTTGAAAACAATCTTGGGCACTGGCATCCCTCCACACGCGAGGGAAGATCATGCATGCAACATATTGTGATATTTTCACAATGCTTTGAGTGGCCATGATCTCCCGCTTTTGCAAACAATCAACATGCCATGATTTGTCAATTGTCAATTGTACACCACACAATGCTGCGCTTTGGTTTAATGTGAATCTATGCGAACGAAAGTCATGCCAGGTGCAAGAGTCAATGTGACTTCCATGTTAACTCGCCAGCAGCCCTCATTCATTATTGTACAGAAGTTGGGTGTGGTGCCTTTAGTATGACCAGCGTACTGATCCACTCATTACAGCAATTAAAACCAACACTTACCTCGTGTAATCTATATTCGTCTGTGAATGCTATGTTTAATTGCTATCAACACGAGACATGGCAACACATGCACAAACAGTATATAAAGATGCAAAATTATGCAATGAAGTTAGAGCAATAAAAAAAAATCAAAAGGCGAGAGATGCATTCATAAAGGATGGAGATAATGGCAGCGATGCATTCACAGTTATGTTCATGAGGATAAACAGATGCATTCATAAGAGGTGTATGTGATGTGTCCGGAAGAGATAGATGATAGTTGATGCAATGCATTCATAAAATGATAGGAAAAGTAATATTGTAGAGAATACGTATTCAGGGGATAGCAGAACTACGCAGACAAAAATAGGTGATATATATTCAGAAGCGATATGAAGAACCAGGGTTAACACCTTTTAAATAAACCAAACACGGACACATTTCTCAGCCTAGGTTAATTAAAATTGCGCGGTAATATTTTATAATTATCAATAACACCGGATCTCGGTACAAATGAATCCGTCACCTGAACACAGATACCAATCCCCAGATTACCCGGGACAAACCCGGATAGGTGGAAACCGTCTTCGAATAGCAAATGTTACCGTGCTTAATTATGGTGAGATTTATTCAAAATGAAAATATATACCTACAGGAGGAAATAGATGTACCATACCATTTATTCAATGGAAGATTTATGTTTTTTTTCAATATAAGAATGCTTGCAGATGACATGTACTGTATGCGGGATAGGTAAATGTATTACGATTACAGTAAATAAATGAACAAAAAAATACAAAGAGATACAAATGTGTACTCAACCGATGCAAAACCTTTACCCCAAATACCCTGACCCCCACTGCATTTACTACAAACGTCACGTTCGGAGCGAGATAGTCACTTCATATCACCTAAAGGTAAGTCTTTATAGAGCCGAACTCGCCATCCACGTTGACATGGGGATGAACTATGGAGCACAGAACCTCTAATGTGAACAGCACCGGGGAGGTTAGTTCCGTAATCCGTGAACACAAATGTCACGTGGTGCCGTTCGTCACAAGAATTGACCAACTCCGTGAATCCGTGAAAACAGTGTATTGCAGGGGAAGTGCATAAACATGGAGAGCGGCTTCATTATTCAGCAAAAAAATCGCAGATTGAGGTTCAAATTGTCTTCAAGACCCAAAAGTAGCAAATATGCACTATGCATCTAAATTAAAGGATGTTTGACATTTTATACTTGCGATCAAAGTAAAAAATATTTAATTTGATACTCAGATCAGACAAATGCATCTAGTATTTGCTGCTGGAAAACCCACGAGTTTTTTTTGGCAAAACATTTGCATTGCACCAAAGATGCAAGTAGCCTCTTTGCCATGAGCAGAAAAATTCTGAAATCGCAACATGATAAAATATAATCCAAGGACACCACCGATGTGGTGTGCTATAGATTCCTGGCAGAATTTGAATTTGCCGGTTCCCGAGATTCCAGATCAGTGGTGCCGCAGGTTATAAGTCTCGAACTGGGGGTGGTAAACTGCGAACTAAAGATGTTTTGCTTAGGTGAATTCAAAGATGCTGGAGGCTTGGTTTAAGTGGGCCCAACGATGACTCACGATTTAGAGTTTTGACAGACCTGCATTATAGGCCTGTAAAAACTCATAAAATTGATCAATTTTAATCAAAATACACCAATATAACAAATTAAAATCGAGTGAAATATTGCAGAATTCCTTGTATGCAATATTAACATGATGTTAATTTAAGCTCATAATTAATCTGAGTGAAAACCATACTTGTTCAGCAACAAACGGATACTTTGAGATATTTTATTGCAAAATGAAAGAATTTCACGTTAACCTTCACAGCACACAAATTTCAGTTGGTTGATGTTTTTGTGCAAGGTAGTAAGCTGTAACAAAAGCCATGAAATCATATCGTGCCAAAATTATAAACATTTAAATATAAATTCACCAGCAGGAAACCCGTTGACATTAAACTTCCCTCCAGCCCTGATTTTCAACCACAGATTTATTGTTGAGACTATTGTAAAAGAGTGGGGCATGCCGAGTTAAATAATTGGGTTAAACATATTTTGGGAATTTTTACCATGTGTGCATCACATTTTAAATGACACCGTTTATTAAAATTGGTCAAGGACTTCTCTGGACAAACACAGATACATCCAGATTGTGGATGACAGCTGAACGACAGAATCACACATTTGTTTTTAAGACAGATGTGATTCGAAGTGAAACCAGTTGCAATTTGTGCAGACAATTGGTGTTTCCACCCTTCTTGTTCCTTAGGCCATATTCTTTGCCCTGAGCTTGGACAGAAGAATTTCATTTTGCGACACTCCTGCAAAGATACAGGCCAATACACATATTAGAGTATGCAACTCAGCCACTTTCATCTCAATATCTAGATCAAGCAATGTAACTGCAATGACCCAAAAAGCCATTGTCAAGTTGTCTTCGTCACGTGCACTAAAAGTATTCTGAGCAGTTGTGAGGAGTAAATACATTTCATGTGGAAACATTTAATCGTGTTATAATGTAATTTTTTATTCATTGGGATTTATTATAAGCATCATGACTCAACGCAACATTTCACACAATTAACCTTTCTGAAAGTATGCTTCCAAATGTTTAAAAGTAATTACTAACAAAGTACTGTTATTTGATTTTTTTTACATGTAAGCTTTCTAAATAAGATGTTTGAAACTCCATTTGCCTGGGATTATAAATGACTATTAAGAAGTACTCCCAATAAATATAAAAATGAATCTAACCTCTTTGAAGTCCTTCACGGTTTTGAAATAAAGGCGTTGTTTGTCCAGGAGATCAAGATGTTCATCATTAAGTTGGTCCCTTCTCATCTTATTCTCCTGACGTTTCTTTTCCACCTGCAGGTCAATGACATGGACCATTTGAAGTTTACATAAAGGTACACGAGTATAACCAACAGACACTTATATATAAATGTGCAATTAAATCAGTGTAGCAATAAAAAAAAGTATACCATCTTGTGACCTATATGTCCACTTATATTTTGTAAGCATTGCCAAAGGGAAATCCTCTTATCGGCATATAATACCTACCCTTGCACACAGGGAATATCTGCAATTATATTCATAATTGCAGATATTTGTACAATTTTATATAAAACCACATCAATCACAATGAATTACAAATACATGAGGATGTATGCAGAAAATATGCAATAAAAATATATGCAAGGAAGTAACTATTTTAATGATACCTTGCACATGTGAAAAAGCAATGAAGCTTATCCAGCGGAAAATTACAGGGATTTTTCTTCCAAAGAACATTTTCACTCGCTAACCTTTACACGGCTTTGCTTGATCCCCTCCACAATCTGCTCCAGCTGTTTCAGAAACTGCTCTCTGCCACCTTGTGAAGCCATGGCCCTTTGGAAATCACAATGCACAGGGAGCTTTCTTACAATTGAGATAAAAATGACGACACCAACTGTCCAGCTATTCCAAATGACTTAGCGACATTGTTTCTCTACCAGCTGAAACCTGACATAGATTGAACACTATTCTCTTGGCTCCAATCCTGATGCAAGATAAGTCTAATTACATAGTTTTCAAGTATTATCATCAGTGTTTTGTCCTGGCTAAAGTAAAGCTGATGTTCTCTCAAGACATCGATTGATCTGTCAGTTATATTAAGTAGAGCCAAATGTGGTTAATATGTTTTGCACATGAGGGTTGTGGATGCAGTATTAGAAAATAAGTGTCATTATTAAAGTTATATATTTTTTAACAATACATGGTATAACCAATCACCTAAACATACTTACTGCTGGAAGTTGTCATGGATGGAATTCAGCAAATTAACCTAAGAGACAGTAAAATGTGTTATGTTCATTTTACGAATAGGCAACTCAATTAAATATAAAACAATTAAATACTCCTGTACATTTTCCATCTTATTAATAATTTGGCTTTTTGGGTTTAGTTTTTGTCCTTCCCTCACACCTTTGATTAGCACGGTTGGCTACGTACGGTGCGAAATAAGTGCAACATACATTAATGATTATCTGCAATAAACAAGTGAGGCACATTACACAATATTTTTGTTACAATAATCAATACCATCAACACATTTAGTTGGAAAGGTCCTTCCAGTAAAAAAGTGGATGCCAACTGTGCCAATTATGTTAAACTATACAAACAAAAAAGTGTTGATTCCTTTTAATTCAGTACTGGAAAAATAACCTTGTTGTAATTACTCACATTTCCATGCACAAACTAATATTCTGAATAAACCCGATCAAAGGTATTACTTATAGTTGATACACTTTTTTTCAAAATAACATAGCATACCTCTTTTTCCAGATACAGCTTCTTGTCATCCAGCGTGTTGTACAAAGTATAAAATTGCTTTGTCTCTTTATGGGTGGCAGCCACTACACATCGGAGAAAATGTGGATTTCATATACTCCAGACCACAATACAGCACGGGATATTATTAACACTTCGGTAAATGTTATAAAATAATGAAGCTCACGTGAATGCTCTTCTTCAGCACCAATGCATACACGTTTGCATAAAACTACACTGGAAATTGTTAAAATAAAAAACATTCCAAAAAGAGGCAAGTTATCATCGCCGTTTCGTGCAAGTGTCGCCGATGTTTTATCGCAAAATTGGTTGAGAGTTCAGGTATCTTCAGTCAAACCTAATGTGGTTAATGCTTCACAATCTTTAACACAGGAGGGTGAAGTACGTATTGTTTTGTAGGTGCCTGCAAATGCTTCTGTTCTGTTTGTTATTATATTTCATGACGATTATTTCTTCCTACCCTGGCTGTAGAGCTCGACAAAGCGACGCTGGTACTGAGTCAGCTCAGCCCGGCTGGGGACTTCATCAATCTTGCGCTGCAAGATGGCAATCTCTCGGTTTCTCCTCCCCTAACAAAAAAAACACACCAAAATCAAGCAGAAGAAATTATATGTTTTGTATAATCACGATGCATTCTACGAGTAAACCATTGTTGTGTTTAGCGAGTGCAATTTTATCCATTTGTGCTTTGTTTCAACAGTTTGTGTTACTTGCCAAGAGCATGCGTATCTTCTGCAGTTTGTCGATATCCGTGCGGTATTGCTTTTCAATCAACTGGTCTTGTTCCTAAAAAAACAGTTATTGTTTAATTATAAAGTACTAATATGATTGGATTGGCATACACGTATGGTTTCAGAATATCTGTACTCAATTTGCTATGCATCTATGTATAAGTAATGTGATTCAATGTAAAGTTATATTTAAATGAACACTATAAATTATATATTGAACAATACATAAATTATAAATTAAAATATTTAAATCACTTATGTACTTTCTATGCTTTTGCATTAGTGTTCATGGTATTTAAATAAAACATTATCATCGATTTAAATAACTGAAAGTGATTAAATTCCATTTTTCTAAATGCAAAGCACAGGCTCAGCAGTTTATAAAGTATCTTCTTTTTTTTATGAGGCCAATTTATGCAAATGCGGATATCTCCTTACAGCCTCTTCTCCAGTCGTATTGTTGGTCTGAAGCTTTAACTCTTCAATGCTGCTCTGTAGACGTGTCAATTCTTCCTATAAAAAACATACATTCAATGTTATTTACAAACACGTAGTAAATGTGAATCATGCAAAACAATACAATGAAGAGAGAATTACATGTCACCTTGCAGTGAGCACGGAACTCGTGCTCTTGACTCTTGAGGCTTTCATTCATAGCCACCAGGGCTCTCAGCTTCTGCAAGACACTGGAGCAATTGTGGAATTAGTATTAATACATCAACAGAAATTAATTTCCTATAGTTCCTAACAATGTAATATTACAACACAATGGTGCCGTCCCTCAATGTCTGAGTGAATTATGCCAAAATGGGACTGTTTAACTTGAGACATCCTTTAATTTCCATAAGGAGAAATGTGCTTCATGAAAATATATATTTTTTATTTAGAATGGTTTATTTAAGTGCAAGATGCAAGATGTTCTTAATATATATTGTATGAGACAATATAAACAGTCAAAGGGAAATTAGATGCATCCACAATGCATATATATATATGTTCAAACAGTGAGTTCTACAGAATGTCATCATATAAATGATCAAGTTCTTAAATCTTGACTTAAAGCTTTCATGACTGCAGGAATTCATACTCTTTGGGTCTTTCGGTAAAGTCTCCTTCCTGAGAATCTCTCCCTTCTTCTGAAAGACCCAAAGAGTATCAAGTTCTTATTGAAAAAAAAATGCAAAACTATTATTGCAAAATACATACACAGTAACTATGGAAGCTCAAAAATATTTAACAAACTCTTACATGATTCTGAATGGTACAATCAATAAGACATTCGCAAAAGTGAATGTTATGAATCACATTTATTTGCGTATATTTAAGCATATGTTTATGCTTTTAAAAATGATGGTAGAAAAGGCACACATTAATCCATGCTGGGAGAATAATGTGCAGGGTAGCAAAGTAAAGTCTAGTCTCATTTTAATACAACTAGATATGAATCATGTACACATGTATTTAGTACAACTATACATGGATAATGTACACATGTATTTGGTAGGCTTTCTTACGCTGAATCAGCCTGGCTCTCCATGGAATCCAACTGTCCCATCTCCTTCCTGAGACTATCTCCCTGCTTCTCGACCTGGAAAACACACACTTAAATCTGTGCAACATCCTTCACATGAACACACCTGTATTGCTATGTTAAAAAAAAGTATTACCATGCAATAACATGCCATTATGAGTCTGAGTAATTATAAATCATGGGAATGGAGACATTTTTTACAATTGTCTAAAGCTAAGGTTACACGTGCTGTAATACAATACAATAACATAGTGAACTTGAACATGTCTAAAAATGGTGAGCTTCAATTGCACGCGTACCTCCATAAGCTTCTCTTTCGCAGCTTCAAAGGCAACTTTCAACTCAGTATGCTTGGCCTTTATCTGTAACACACATGCGAGCTGATTAGAATTTTCAAGTGGGAATACAGAAGAAAACAACACTATCGTCAACATACATATGTATATACAATTTCCTTAGAGCTCTTTTTATACAATGATTTAGTCATAAAATATAACTTTTTAAGTATTTTTCATGCCCCAGCCCCAATTTTGAAAAAGAGGTTTTGCGGAAAGATAAAAATAGTCTGCATGTGTAGCTAAACAAGTGTTACCTCCTCCAGCTGGAGTTCCTTCTGAGAAATCTGCTTGCCAAGCGAAACAACCAAGCGTTTGTGCTGCTGTACTGGACCAAGCCTCTCTGTCTTCTCTTCGCCTGCCAGCTCTGATTGCTGAAAAGAGAATTCAGAGTGTTAATCAGTATTCCAAGGAAGATGTAAAAATGTTATAACCACGATAATGAAATTAAGCCATAGCTCACAGAACGTATAGTAGAATCAAGTCTTGCATGTTTATACGATGGTTTCAACTATGAAAAGTAGCTTATACTTAAGGTAAAAAAACTACGAATTCCTGCAATTTAATAGAACCAACTTAAAAAATGTGATCGGGAAAAAGTTTGAAAGTAGCTTAATACAGCAATTGCTTTGTGATACATGTTGATATTTTACAACTAAATTGTCTCAAATTAAGTGTAGTAATTCAGGTGTAATTTTGACAATGTATGGTAAAGATATCATTAAAATGAAATCATGTAAATGGAAATATTTGAACCCTTAAAAGAAATCAGAACTGTCAATTTGTTTTTTTTTCAAATCATGTTTTGATATGAAAATTAAAGTCCAAAATAAATACCTTTTCTGCATATTCTGAAGCAATCTGTTTGATCTCCTCTGACTGAAGACCAACAATTTGACCAACTGTGCTGGCTGTTAAACGCCCCTGAAACAAAAAATACAACGTAATGGTCATTTCACAATACTAAAATAATAAGCATAGCAAGTGAAATAAGGGTACCAAGTAGGCAAATGTGCTTAAAGTTAATATATTGCAATATATATTTATATGTGAATGTAGTTTAATATTTCGAAATACATACTTCCTCTGTTGCCATGGCAGCCATGCTGCTCATCAGAGTCTTGATGCGAATCTGCAAAAATAAAACAAAGCTGACCAAATCAATATTCAGTGGTTTTCAGTATGTATGATTATTGTACACACTAAAAAACACAAATAATTGGCCAGAAAATGTTTTTCAATCACCAAAATTTACCATTTGATAAACTGCCACTCAAACTGCATAAAACATGATTGTAACAGCTTCATGTTTTTTTTAAAATACCGATGGATTATTTAAATCTCTAAATAGGACTTACCTCATCAGCAGCCTGCAGCTCCTCTTCCTCAGTTGTCTGTGCTTTCCCTACTGCTGCGGCACCTGGCACAGATTTTTTCCGGTCATCCACCTAAAGCACACAAGGCACATGCTGTTCATAACTACACTTAATTCACATTTGCATTGCTTGACCTAACCATAATGCATTTTAAATTTCATACTTCCCTTGGAAATATGCAACAGCAGTTGTAAAAGTCATAAATACTGACAATTATAAAAATGTATATGTGAATGTTTAGTATGTGTTGGTCTTCAGTCAGAGTGTATATATTAATTATATAATTCAGACAGTGGCAACTACAGACATACAAAAACAATACACTCACCTTCTCATTCTTGTTTTGAATAAAGCAATACCTCCTGCAAAACGGACAAAGGGTGGGGCCTGGTTAAAGTAACCACTGAAAAAAAGCGTTTCGGATGAAAACGCACAATCAATTATGACTAAAATGACAATTATTGAATTACAGCTTTAATTACGTGTTACCTGTACATTTTATATTAATGATCTAGTGCGCTCAATACATTTTTATTATGAAGTAATTATATTCATTTAATCTTGCTTTATTTAATGATGTACCTATATGCTCACTCACTAATTACCTGCCATACTCTAGAAGCGTAGACTGCACACGTGACTCTTCATCCAGAAGAGAGTCTGTTCCAACTTGTCGCCGGTATCGTCTCTGGGGTTTGTATTCCTCCTGTGGATATCGGCGAGAAGGTTAAAAAGGGAGTGCAAAGTGAAGTAGCTTTGTGAAGCATTTCACAATACACTCATGTAAAATTATGACATGTTATCACTGCGTACAGTGAGATACTGCATGCAGAAACTTACAGCAGCAGCTAGCAAAGCCATGGTCGCCTTTCCCTTCCGCTCCAAAAATTCCTCATCCTGACAAAAAAATGCAAAAAATATATTATTTTTCAAAACTTCACATGCATGTTCTAGAACGCTTAAATGTAATTCACAATTGATGAAATTCTTGCCTCTGGAAGTCTGCGGCTCTTGTTAAACTGGGAGATGGAGAAAGCCCTAATGTGGTCGCCCGTTTCCTCTCGTGTCTCTATGGCCCTCTTCACCAACCACTTAAAAACAAACATTTCATTGTGTTTTTATACAGTTTGTATAGATTCATGTAAAACTATAGAATGTGTTTCATATACAAAATTAGACATTTATTATAGAAGGCGTTCACTTATGTTTTGGAAAAATATTAGTGGCAGAATGCGAAGTGTTACAATCTTGTTAAAGTTACCTGGATAACAGGGAATATGTGTATGAAGTCTAAACCCTGGATTTGATGGGGTTCAATCCGATGAGGACACTTCATGCTCGGCAAAACAGACACTATCTTCTCAGTCAAGGCTCTGTGAAGAAAATACACAGAAGCAGCAGTAGCATTCAACTAGTAAAACTGTCTCATGGCAAATTACTAAAAAATCTCATTTGTACAAACAGATGAATAACAAGGATGAATATTTTTCGATTTAAAGCTTTCGTGACTGCAGGGATTCATCATTTATGGAACTCATTGACACGTATTACATCAATAGCCTGACATTCACGTTTTAAATCTGGTTATGCTTTTCCAAACCTCACATCTTTTGGCCGATGGTGGAGTTTTCCTGGAAGAGCAAGTCAACATCAATGTCAACACTACACGTAGTGATGCACCATGTCATTCCTCCAACCACCTACAAACACACAACAACAACTTTAATGAAAGCACGTTTATTTAACGGTGGCTTCAATTGTTAACCAAACATACATATTCCAGTGAGACATTTTTTGGGCGATAAACGATATTGTTTGTCAATTGTTTCTAACAGTTAAGTACTCTCAAAGCAAAAATATATAACTGGGTCTTGCATTTAAGATTTTTTTCAGGTCTCTATAATACAATAAGCTAAACTAACAAAGTTATATGCATTCATTAAAACATGCACACGCCGTCCCGCATATTAATCAGAAATAAAAAAAACCCAGCAGCATTACATTGACATTTTGCACATCTAAGAATGCTTTCAATATGCAAAAATAGGCAACATAAATTCCACCTTATCGAAAGATGAGAGCCCCTTGATGCGAGCACGGAAGTAGCCAGCAGCAACTAACAGCTCAAGGATCTCTGATAGTTTGACGCCTTGCTCTTCATCCTCTCGCGTCTCCACCTACACACGGCAATGCACTTTAATCGTTAGTGTAACCACAAACACAACAATGTACCTAACTGAACAGTCATCATTGTTGCTGAACAGAAGGGTGGCTCATTCCATTGAAACAAATGCTGTTGCAATGCCCAAAAACCCCTTGGTGGTACATATCTCAATTAGGTATTGTGCTAGTGTTAAAAACTCCACGTTCCTATGGCGGGGAGCGGTGTGACTGTAAGTCTAACCAAAGGACAACCAACTAATCATGACAGACACTACAGTGATTATTCCAGCAGGTGGTGCTGTTGCTTCCAACCCCAGACGAAAAGACGATGGGCCAAGGCTACTCTAACACGATTCGCTGCTGTTCTACCAGGAGAGCAGCAAAACGAGCGAATATTATAAACCAAATATATTTCGTTTGTGTATGTCCGTGTAAGTCGGTCATCTCTCTTCGGTTAGGAGTCGTGCAAATGTCTGCACGGTTCAGAATCTCACTTCCTCCTTCTCGCTATATGCTGTACATACGCTCTACCCACTGTGCGGTGAATATCTCCATTGTGCATCTGCGTGCAGTGGTACTGTACATCCTTCACTGTCACTGTGTACCTAGGCATCCGTTTCTCGTACTGTATACCCATCTATGTGTATGGTATAGACTACATTATAACCATTCTACATTTGAAGCTTTCGTGACTGCAATGATTCATACTCTTAGGTTTTTTTTACTTACGTGACTTTACCGAAAAAACCTAAGAGTATATTAGAACCATATTTACATGGGTGCATATTTGCACCTCTCTGTAACGCCCGTGCGTGTTTCTGTGCACAATGTGCGCCTATTTCTCTGCATACCCCTCCGTGTCTGGATCCCACTTGATTTCCTCACTCCCCCCTCTCTCCGTGTAAACCATCTCTGTGCGAATTCCACACCGTCTCGTCTCTCTCGCCACGTTTCTCCGTGTGCCTGGCCCCTAAGTGCCTGCCCCCCTAAGTGCCCGGCCCCCCTAAGGCCCGGCCCCCCTAAGTGCCCGCCCCCCTAAGTGCCCGGCCCCCCTAAGTGTCTGTCCCCCTAAGTGCCTGCCCCCCTAAGTGCCTGCCCCCCTAACCTACCGTGCTCATCGCACTTCCGATGAGCACGGTCGGTAACGTACGGTGCGAAAGAAGTTCCGCACGCGTAATTACTGTACACACAGCTGCCCCCCCCAGCCGTCTCTGTACCGCGCACTGCGCAGGGGTACAGACTCCAGAGCCGATGGCTCTCACAGGATCTCAGGGCGACAAAAAATAAATAAAAACTTAATTTTTTTTAAAACACCCCCCCCCCACCCTTCCCTGCCACCTCCGTGTACGCTTCTACCCATGACCTCTCGCTCTCTCAGTACACGTGTGGTGCGTGTGTACATCTCGCCGCCGTCGTGTGTGTGTCTCGCCTCGATGAGACGCCCGTCCTGGTCGTACTGCGCCGCCGCCGCCGCCGCCACTCTCGACCCCGCACGCGATCGCTGCGGTGCAGCCGCAGCAGCCGCCATCGCAGTAGCTCTGCTCACGTGACCGCCGCTCCGCCCACGTGACCACCACCACCCCTCTCCACGTGACCGCCACCCCTCTACACGTGACCACTACCACCACCCCTCTCCACGTGACCACCGCTCCGCCCACGTGACCACCACCACCCCTCTCCACGTGACCACCGCTCCGCCCACGTGACCACCACCACCACCCCTCTCCACGTGACCACCACCACCACCCCTCTCCACGTGACCACTACCACCACCCTCTCCCACGTGACCACCACCACCCCTCTCCACGTGACCACCACCACCCCTCTCCACGTGACCACTACCACCACCCCTCTCCACGTGACCACTCACCACCACCCCTCTCCACGTGACCACTACCACCACCCCTCTCCACGTGACCACCACCACCACCCCTCTCCACGTGACCACTACCACCACCCCTCTCCACGTGACCACCACCACCCCTCTCCACGTGACCACCACCACCCCTCTCCACGTGACCACCGCCCACCCCTCTCCACGTGACCACCACCACCCCTCTCCACGTGACCACCCACCACCCCTCTCCACGTGACCACCGCCACCCCTCTCCACGTGACCACCACCACCCCTCTCCACGTGACCACCAAAGACAGACTTGGAGGGGCGAGTGCTGTTAGCGAGCGGCGCCTATGGAGGCCACTGGCACACGAGGGGGTGGTGGGGTGGCCACCAGTCCGCCCGGGCCGCCTTTGTCTCCCCAGTGGCGATGTTTAACTATAACACCGCACCAGGTTACTCATTTGACAGCCGAGTTCGACCTAGGGGAGGCCCACGACCGATACAGATAACAATGTGTAACAAAAACATTGTTCCTGGGTAGTATTATTTTCTAATTGCTTATGCCTCAAAAGCATAGAAAATGGCTATTATTCCCCACAAACTTTGCTTTTGTGACCAGGACAGTGATATTTTGAAATGTACCTATTTTCAATGATAAAACCTGTGCATTTGTGTCATTCTTTCATATAAATCCTGGTCACAAAAGCAAAGTTTGTGGGGAATAATAGCCATTTTCTATACTTTAAAGGCATAAGCAATTAGAAAATAACACCTAGGGGCCGTCCATAAACGACGTCACTCACCTAGGGGGGGGGGGGGTCAGACATTTGTGACGATGTGTGACGAGGGGGGGGGTGAGAAATGTGACGTCACATCAAAATGCGCAACTTTAAATAAATATAGACAACACGTTCTACTTAATTAAATAGACTTTTAAATAAATGTTTTCTCCTACAACATCAGAGTGCAGAAGCACATTAAATACGCACTACAATGACAGCAGTTTAAAGCGATTTGAAGCATGTTTTATTTGGGGGGGGGCAGAGCTTTGTGACGTCATATTTGAGGAGGGGGTCTGACTTTGTGACGCCGTGTGACGAGGGGGGCGGGTCAAAAATCGTCCAAAATCGCATTACGTCATTTATGGACGGCCCCTTACTACCCAGGAACAAAAAAAGAATGTTACACAGTGTAATCGTCACCGGGTTGTTGGCCGTGAGCGGGGAATCGAACTCGAGTCGACGAGTTCGTAGCGCAGAGCGAAGCGCTCATCGCTGCATCCGCCGCTCTCCACGTGACAGCCGCTAAGCTCAGTGACCCCCACCACTCTCCACGTGACCGCCGTGAATCCAGAATCTTTTTTTATACTGCAGGAGGAATCCGATGAGCTATAAAGCTCTTTTGTCCCTCGGATTGCACAGAAGAGGTGGGTCAGAACGTTTACAACCACAGGCAATTAAAAAAAACTACAGAAGTGCAAAGTATAGGAAAGGTAAACGAGTCGGTTAAAATATATATATGCACAAATAAAACTAAACGATTTGTTTATTTTGCCAGGTAAATACAACCGAGCTACTAACTTCTTTTGCAGAAGCGATCTGGACACAAACGACAGCTTAACGCAGCGGTCGGGAACCTATGGCTCGCGAGCCATATATGGCTCTTCCAGTGACGGCATATGGCTCCCAGACAATTTTGAGTTGAAAAAAAATAATAATAACAAAACAAAAAATCAGTTTGGAACTGATTTTAAAATACTTGTGATATTGTTTAATAATACTGTGTCATTTTAAAGTAAACAGAAATTAGTTTTGAAGATACATTTCACGGGTCACGCCTGCATGAAGCTCAACCTCACCACGTATGAACCAGACTACAAGGTCATCAGCAAAACCATGCAGCACCAGAAGTCGCATTAAAGGTAAGACATATTTCATTTATTATACGTTAAAATACTATATGGCTCTCAATGAAATATATTTAGAAATATTTGGCTTTTATGGCTCTCCCAGTCAAAAAGGTTCCAGACCCCTGGCTTAACGGAGTGGCTTATCACGTGGGTTAGTACGTCATGGTCACGTGAGCACCACACGCCGTAGGGGCAGCTGGCTCGCTCACGTGACCCGCCACCCCCCTCCCAGCCACGCCCCCCCGGCGCGCGAGCTGCTCACGTGACTGCCGGCGTGCTACTCGGTGCCACGTGGGGGATGTGACAGTTTCCCTGTGACGTCATGCTTTCGGATTCAATCATTTAAACGCTGCTTGTAACCGCCAGCGAAACGTCCTCGATTTTTAAATGTCTGGGTTTCATACCTGTCAAGCCCTTATCAGTGCCGACCTTATTACAGATAAACTCAAGACTTCATTGGTCAACCCGTGCCCTTATCAATCTCAACGTTCATCCTACAAAGTCCCATCACAAGGGAGAAACACAAACACATCGACAAAAATTATGTTACTAAACAAAAACCTTTTTTGTGTTACTTTTGATAATTGGTGTCAGTGATGCTACTTAACACATTCCTGCGGAGGGAGCTGATAGGAACGTTGGGTTGCTCGGTCAATGGCCAGGGTCAACAGCGGCGTGGTGTATTCCGCAAATATGGCCGACTGTGAGGGCGGGCACAAGCCGACGTGAGTAGGTTAAACGTTGAGTTTTATAAGGGCACCACGGGGTGACCAGCCCTCCCCACCCAGCCCCACCCCTCCCACCCCCCACCCAGCCCCTCCCCACCCTCCCCTCCCCACCCAGCCCCTCCCTGCATGACGGACGGACACAATAATCCCCTGTAGGCTGGTGTAACCAGGAGGATCCTACCAGTATGCTTACTCTGTGATCTTGCATGCTGATGCTGCTTGCTTGATATGTGGATGCACACACTTATTTTGTAAATGTACAACACTAAACAGTAAATTATGAAGGGTTAAACAATACACTATCATTCATGTACATCCCAATCCTGTTTTTACAAATTTCAGGATCACATTTTTCGGCTGCTACGGGGATCGCTACTCTTCAGAGTAAAAAAAAGCTGTCCCACAATATTTTTTTTTGGCCGTATGATGTCTTTGTTGCCCCTATTGAAAAGGCTGTGCGCCGTTTCGACCTGAAACTCAATTTCCCTGTTCAAAAATACGGGTAAACCGTATGGGTTGACAGACACAGGGTTTACTCGCCAACACGTTTTTTGGGGTACAACCGTTAGTTTCCAGGGAAGAGTAGAATGTTTCGAATTATTTTGAAAACATTCATTTTGTGTGCCTAATGTGCAATAATGTATAATTAATATCCAATACTTTTTACAAAGATAACGGATGCTGCTTTTCTGATTAGATTTGTTTCAAACGACCTATAAAAGTAGAACTGCATTTACCTTTCAATTTGTATTTAAACCAGCAAGGACAGCTGTGTGCACATCTGAACTTTAAATTCTAATTGCTCAAGATCGTGCATAAATGAGAATATCCACTCCTTACCTTGCAGGCTATTGTTCTTAAAATTAAGCTGTATATTGTGTGCTATCGCTGACATGAAAAAGTATTTGCATAGCTTTCAGTCAGCAGTTCCTGCATTTATAATTAATTTACGTTTCTAAAGAAGGTATCGAGATAACGATAGCTATGAAGAACACTTAGCTTAAATTCAGAGCTTGTTTTCATCGTGGCACAACATGAGTACATGGACCCTTATAAGCCAATCACTTTAAATTTATAATATTTTTGTAGCATTTTATATAAATAATGCATCACAAAAAAATAACAAATCATTGCATTACCAACAATAGTGCCAATTGCGATGTGACACAAAACATTGTGACCCGTGATAAATCCCACCAGCAGGTGGCAGCATGATCATATGTGTACGTGCCACAGGTGGAAAATAAAATGAGGAATGTTATACTGGAGGAATTGGATGAGCTATAACGCTCTTTTTCACACATGTCCAGTAGTGGACAAAACCACAACGTCCTCCATTCTTCTCTCCATAATTCTCAAACGACTCACCCAGTGTGTAATGCCACCCAGCAGACTCTAGGTTCTGGAGTCCCAATTGAAAAGCATTCCTTATATCTGGTACTTTAATGCAGCTTAAGTTATTACAATATTTGTAAAAGGCCTAAACAAATTCAAATGGGCAACTTTATATTGGATAATTACTACCTGAAAAGAATAAGTAAATATAACACGTTAATTTCTGTAAACAATACTATTTTACTACATAGTGTTTAGTTCAAAAAGTTTACAAACACACTGTGATGTTTGGCACAGTTTTTAATCAACTGGGAAAACACAACACTGAGGCAAAAATGAATGTGGCAATCATTTTAGAACATTGATGATGGAACTGGCCTAAAGCATAATGTGACACAGCAACATTAACACTGGTAACATTTAACACTTATTCACAATAACGAGTCCATTAAAGTGCTTATTAAAGTAACATATTTACAGGACACTGATAAAAATTCCAAGCAGTTCAAAGCATTCACGGGCTATGCATTTTATGGACCAAAGAATTGCTACAAACATCAGAAATGCAAGACAAACTCTCAGAATCCTGAACTCTATAGAGGACGTGCGCAAATTAATAAACAGGTGGAGGCTCTGCACAGCTTCATATGATTGTATATGTATTGTGTGTGTGTGTATAAGTTACGTAAAACTTTACCAGAAAGGTTTTCAAAGCA